TGAGAGCCAATGCATTGCTTTGGGTTTTGGATGTTAGGATTTTGCTGTGAGTGATGTGCTGATAAGACAGAGGGTGTTAATTTAAATCTATAGTAGAGGAACTGGTATTTTCCCAGGAAGAGTTGTTTCATTACTTTTTTTTGTTGGTATCTTATATAGAATCATAGAATGGTTTGGGTTGGAAGGGACCTTAAAGATGATCTATTCCAATCCCATTGCCATGGGCAGGGACACCTTCCACTAGATCAGCTTGGGCAAAGCCTTGTCCAGCAACACCTCCAGGGATGGGGCAGGCTAGTAAGCGTTCTTTTCTGTCACTTCAGAGGTGATTCGTGGCATCATGATTGACTTTTTCTCCCACTGGAAGAATTGGGATACCAACTTTTAAGATTTTGTGTTTTCTTACTTTTCAAAGTTGAGCAAACATAAGAGGATTTTTTTTGTATGTTTTTTTGATCCAATAATAAAAATAATAATAATAAAATCTTCTGCAATTCCCCTCCTCCCAACAAACAGATGAAATGTTAGACAAGTCTTCATACTCAGTGACTGACTAGTCTGTTGATTATCCCTTACCAGAACAACTTTATTAAAAAGAGAGAGAGCAAATAACTCAAATAAAATGGAAGCTTATAGTGCTGCAATGCTATTTTTACTGAAATGTAAATATGCTCAGGTAGCTTCACATTAAAATATCATACAGTGTTGATGGACTTTGAAAGTGTTATTGCAAATATTTTTGTGAATTTCTGCAGAACATAGGCTGTGCTTATTCCTTTTTTTTAAATTAACCTTTTAGTTAGGCTAAGACTTTTTTTATACCCCCTCCCCAAAAAAACCAAACAACAAACCCCACCCTCAAAAGACACAGAATACACCACCAAACAAACACACACATCCCAAAACAAAATACCCACACCCTTTTAGAAAAAGTTCCAATAATGGACCACAATTATTTGTTAAGCTGTTCCTGTGACTAACTTGTGCCTTTGTTTACGAAAAAAGAAAGAAACCGTCATATGATCACTTATGGACTAGGGATGTCAGACTTCAGCTTCTAGTCACTGGTACATCTATATATGTTGTTTTTTCAGAATGGAGGCCTTTTTATTAAAACTTGTCTTTCCTGTTTGAGTCAGCTTGCCCTTTCACCTTACTTTGAACTCAAATTATCTTCTCATTAGCATATGAAACTTAAATTTAATTGCTTTTCTGAAGCTTCAGTTTTTCATCATCGTGGAAATTGAAGCTATTGGTGGTAACTGCAATGCTGTGACGTACAGAGGTAGTAGCTGTTGGTACTACACGTTCTCTTGTTCTGATCACTGACTGGGTTACATTATTTCTCTGGGGACTCATTTCATCTGGTCTCTCAGCAGCTCAAGAAGGCAGCTGAAACCTTCTTTTTATTCTTTTTTTTTTTTTTTTTTTTAAATTTGTTAGGAGTAGTACTGGTGAAAGCTAATTGCAGGATATTCTGTGGACATGTAAAGATCAGTACAAACATATCTCTGCCTTTTACTGCTTTGAGATGCTGTTGCCCTGTAAACGAAGCAGAGACCTAAGGTTTTGGATCAGCAGTAGCTGCTACTGGTAAACCTCAAAAAAGCTGTACGAGAGTGTTCTAAGTTTTCTTAAGTTGCTTAACAGAACAAGTTTTGTCTTGTTTTCCTTTGCTCACTTAATTTACTTTTTTTTTTTTTTTTTATTCTATGGCATGTAGATTGCAAATTGCTTAATGTTGGAGGCGTTTGTTCTAAAGCAGGATATTTGTGAAGAATGTTCATGTGTCTTGGTTGAGGAAGTGAGATTTGGACTGAAATTATATATGGCTGGAGGGGGTCGATACCTTATATTTGAGAAGACAGTTGGAGAGGTACTGGTCTGTGGTATTTTGGAAAGTCCCCAAAATGCTCTAGCCTTTGTTGAACTGTATCAGCTCTATTGGACATTATCATATGGTGGCAGCCGTTAGTATGGAGACTGTACTTGGAGAATTGCACTCGTCCTTGCTTGGTAGATATCTGTGCCATAGGCATATTTAAATCACGTCTAATGGCTACAATGGTTATTGAATGCTTCTTAAATTTACTGACTTTGCAGAGTCAGCATAGCCAAGTTGTGATAGATTTTGTGGTAAACGCAATCTTAAAATAATTTGGTTGATTTTTATCTCAGCATCCAACTGAAAGTTGTTAAATGGAGTATATGTCACTGAGAAGAAGAATCTGCAGAATTTTTTTGAGAGTCATGTTTGAGTTCTGCCTGCCAGACTAGAAAATACTAATTTTTACTCACAAACTGAAGACATTTGAACTGAGAATTAAGACCAAGTGTTAATCCATGGAATGACTCTTATTTCAACATAAATATTTTTTTTACTATGTTTTGCCTTTATTTCAATATTTATTTGTGTTTTTTTAAGGACAGCTCTAACATCTATTTGTATATTCTGTGGGCTTTGAGGGAGGAAACTTGTGAATTTGTACATTTAAATTGGGATTCTCAACTATTCTTTACTTGCCTCAGGCTGTACAGTGGTTTTGTTACAGTACTGTGATTTCTGAAAGGAAAGTTAAGTTTAATCATTCCTCAGCTGGATTTACATTGTATTTGCAGTCGTTTCAGATATGGTTTGCTTGTGGCTGTTATTAGAGGAGATCACAGGGCACTTCTATTGTTTCTTGTGTCTGGGACGTCTCACCATTGACTCTGCTAATTACTTTCTAGATGTGAAAATAAACTAGAGGCTCCTCAAAAGGTTTCAGCTTGTTCTCTGGCCTTACTTATGTGTTGCTTCTGACAAAACTGGAAGATTCATTGCCCTGTGATGCTGTTCGTGAGCCTGCAATAAAGGATTCTTTCAGTCTTTCTCTTCTCCTCTTTCAGCAAGACTCAACATTTGTATGTGCTCTTGAATCTTTCTTTGATTCATAAGTGATAGCAGAAGTCAAGTGTGCCTCTTAACAGCATGCAAATGTTGAGATAAAATCTAGGTCATCCCATGATGATGATAATCCTGTCTGAGTGGAACATTCAGAGGAGGTTACAAATCAAGCCTCGTGTTACTCCCTACCTGCTGAGTGAGTGCCTGCTTTGAGTGTTCCTTAAAACTACTGTTGTGTAATTTATTTCCTACTTCCCCCTTAGTTACAGGGGATTTACAATTTGGGTGTTTCTTTTGGGGGAGAAGCAGGCTGGAGAGGAAGATTCATGTCTGCTCAGCCTGTTCCTAGAAAGTACAGGTTTGTGTTGCTTAGGAAAAATTGTTTGGATTCCATGGTGTGTTATACAGGTGAAGCTGCTTTGTCATCCTTTCTCATTGAACCGGTAGAAGGCTGTTCTTGGATGTGATTGTTTCAGTCACTTAGAACTAAGCCTTCCAGACAGTTTCAAGCACAGCTGCCTTTTTCCTTCTTATTTTTGTGCCAGCATAGTTTTTTTTTCCCTTCCCGCTGCCTATCTTGATCTGTGGATACACAACAGACACATCTCAGTAGCCATCTCTTTTGGTTTTTATTTTTCCTTAGGCTCTTCCCAAAATACATTCTTAACCCTGACCACTGCTAGAGTTCAAGTTCTATAGCCTTACTAGAAAACTCCCAAAAGGAAAGATGTGAATGCTATGGAGTCAGTTACAGGATTCATTTATGTGGATTACTGCCAGTCCTTTACACTTTTTGTTTAACTGTTAACATACTTCGTAAATAGTATAGTGGGACACTATATTGCCTTCTAGAATTGAAGGCTTTATTTGGTTTGGGTCTGATCGATATTTCTGATTTGTTAGTAATGAAGATACCTGCTTCTTCTTTATGTGACTGAGGAAAAGTAGTTGGATTTCTCTTTGCTTCCATGTGGGGCTTATAATGCAAGTACCATAAATAAAACATCAGTATTGTCTCTCAGCTGTATTATCGAGAAAGCATTCTGAAGCATAACATTATATAGAAGCTTGAAATCAGATTTCCTCTTCCCCTGTGGTGGTTAAAAAGCTCAGTAAACTCTTGGAGCAGGTACTTGGCTTCAAGCTAGTAAACTAGGCATGAAGGCTGGCTACAGTGCATCTAAGCCTAGTTAAATCTCACTTCTCTAAATGCTTGGCCTCAAAAATCAGTCTAAAGGCAGTTTGACAAGATTACTCCTTGAAGTTATTAATTCCTCTGGGTCTAGTATTTTTCCTGTAGAAAGCATGCCTAAGGGCTCTGCTTTTGTATGACAAGGATTTAAAAACCTGGAGCGACTTGACAAGAAAGTAAATGAATAATGAGATTGCTTAGGTAAGCTGTTGCTGATTGTAGGTAAGCAAGGGAAGCACTGGTGCATTGTATCTGCTGTGTAAGCACAGCACATTTCATGTGTCTCTGTTAATTACATTTTACTGCTATTAATGCACTAGTGTGGCCTGTGAACTGTAATGTAAAAGATTTTTCAGGTGACAAATTAAGTCTTCGTTCCCAGTTACTTCCAAAAGCCTTTAGGTTTAGACTATGTAGAGATGGTTGTGTGAGGTTTTTAGTTTATGTGCGCACCCAGAGAAGTACAAACCTTAGTCTTTCCTTTTTTTTAATCTAATGCTTGTAATTTGAATTACAGGAAATAAGAGCCAATTACAGATGCAAAATAAGATCAGAGGGTAGTAGGAGTAAGCAAAAATTGTTAACTGTATACAGTTAACATGGTGAGTTGTTGTATACATACTAGAAACAAACTCATCTGAGTTAAATAAGCTTATATTGGATAATGCAACAGATAAATATTATTTTTTCTTACTGTAAGTACTGAGATTTCCTTGGAACTCTTCCTCTTATCCTCTTAATAGAGCTTACATAAGAGTAATATGAAAAGTGCGTGTAACAATTAGTTTTCCATTTGTACTTAATTGTAAAATATTTGCATTTCAGCTCAAATCAAAGACAAAATTAAAGAAAGGGAAAAGAAGCAAAAAGAGAAGAAGAAGCACAAAATAATGAATGAAATCAAGAAAGAAAATGGAGAGATCAAATTACTGCAGAAAGGTAGGTTCAAATTGTGTAGTGGTATGTCATTCTAGTGCTTTAAAATCTTTGTGATTGGATTGGATGCTAATTTTTAATACTATGTTTTTCATTTAACTTAAGTGCCATTTTCTCTGACTAGCTGGTATGAGGGTTGCAAATTAAAACTTGACTATAAGTCTTTTTTTTTTTTTTTTTGTCAGCTGTGTTAGGTACTGGAGATTAAAAATATAACTATCACCACCCCAATGTTGCTTATATGGTAGTAGTAAGGACTAGTACTTCAAGGAATAATATTGGTGATACCTACTCTTCTCTCCAGTTACTGAAGAAGGTTATTTTATATATTATGGAGAAGAAAAGTGAATCCATATAATTTGATATCTAACATTAAATGCACAAAACTGAATAATTAAGGAGTTATAATTCAGGAACTTTGTTAAATACTGTATAACAGGCAGTCTTAATTTTGGCTAATTTCTTCATTTACTGTAATGGAATATAATTCAGATCACATTCTCACGCTTGCTTATACATCTACTGGATCTTAGAATTGTACAGTAGTTGAGGTTGGAAGGGACCTAGTCCAACACTGCTGCTCAAAGTAGGGTCAGCTAGAGCAGTTTGCCCAAGACTATCAGACTCTGTTATCTCCAAGGGTGGAAGCTCCACAAAATCTTTGGACAACCAGTATTGGTATGTGACCACTCTTACAGTAAAAAAGTATTGCAGTCTTAGTTCAAAGGGAATTTATTTTATTTCAGTTTGTACCCTTTACCTCTTGTCCTGTCAATGGATATCTCTGAGAGTAGTCCTGCATCAGGGGAAGAATAGTCCTAAGCACTGGTACATACTGGGGACTGACCAGTTTTGGGGCTCTGGCAGACAGCAGGCTGGCTGTGAGGCAGCAGTGCACCTTCACAGCAAAAAAAGGCCAACAGTATCCCTGGCTGCTCTAGGAAGAGCATTGCCAGGAGGTCGAGGGAAGTGATCCTTCTCTACTCAGCACTGCTGAGGCTGCATCTGGAGTACTGTGTCCAGTTCTGAGTTCCCCAGTACAAGAAAGATAAAGACTCTGGAGTGAGTCCATTACATAGCCAAAGATGATGAAAGGGCTGGAGCATCTTTCTTATGAAGAAAGGCTGAGAGAGCTGGGACTGCTCAGCCTGGCGAAGAGGAGGCTCAAGGGGGATATCATCAGTGTGTATAAACACCTGGTGGAAGGGAACGAAGACAATGAAGCCAGACTCTTCTGAGCAGTGAGCAGTGACAAGACATGAGGCAATGGATGCAAATTAAAACACATGAAATTCTGTCTGAATGTAAGGAAGAAACTTTCTTACTATGAGAGTGGTTGAGTACTGGCACAGGTTGCCTACAGAGGTTGTGGAATGTCTGTACTTGGAATTATGTAAAACCCGACTGGACACAGTCCTGGGAAGACTTGTTTAGGTGACTGTCCTTGAGCAGGGGGAGTTGGTCTAAATTATATCAAGAAGTCCTTTCCAACCTCAGTGCTTCTGTGAGTCTGGCTACATCTTTACACCCTTTCTTCAGGCGTTCGCACACATTGATAAAATTCTTCCTTCCCCGTTCCCCATCCTGCTTTCTCTTCTCCATGCTGAACAATTCACTGCTTTCAGCCTTTCCTTGTGTAAGTGGTGCTCTGCTTCCTTAACAATTTTCAGGGCTCTTTGCTGGACTTGGTCCAGTATGCCCATGTCTGTGTTGGACTGGCGATCCCAGAACTGCACACAATACTCCAGATGTGTCTCACCAGTGATCAGCAGAGCAGAAGACTCGCCCCCCTCAACCTGCTGCCAGTGTTTTTCCTAATCCTGTCCAGGAGGCTGCTGGCCTGCTTTGCCCCAAAGGCTGATGGTCAACCATAAGGTCATCCACCAGGACTCCCAAGTCCTTCTCTGTTGGGCTGCTGTCCAACCAGTTGGTCCCCAGCCTGTGCTGGTGCACGGGGTTATTCCTCCCAGGTGCAGGGCTTTGCACATCCCAGTGTTAACTTTGTAAGACTTCTGCTGGCCCATTTCTGCAGCCTCCCAAGGTCCCTCTCACCGGTAGCACCACCCTGTGATGCATGAAGCACTCCTTTGAGTTTTGTATCACCTGCAACCTTGCTGAGGGTGTGCTCTGTCCCCTCATCCTTGTTACTAATGTAGATGTTGAACAGTATTGGCACCAGGTATCAGTGTGTTGGTTACTCCAGTAGCGACTGTCTTCCGGCTGGACTTTATGCTGCTGATCACAACCCTTTAAGCACAGCAGTTAAGCCAGGTATTGATCCACCTCCCTCTTCACTTATCTGGGCTGTGCTACATCAGTGTTTCTGTGAGGATGTTGCTTATTTAAGTAGACCAAAAAATTTTTTTAATGTGTTCTTTTTTTTTTTTTTTTTCCAGACTTTGCTTTTGAAGTTAGTAACAAATTCCTGATATATTTTTTCTGTTATCTTGTCTGCTGTAGGATTTAATGTACAAACAAAAAACTGAAACCTCTAGAACAAAACATTATCTTCAACACGTTCATACAAGGTCAGAGGCATGGAACCCTGTAATTACTACATCACATGTTATACTCTATGCACAGCTCCAAGTAGCTGTATTAGCAACTGTCACAGCTTACAACCTGTGTTGATCAGATCTCAAGGTATCAGCTTTGACCATAGGGAATGTGTAAGCTGGTGACTTCCTGAGAAAAGAGCTGATCTGACTGGGCAACACTCAGCTACCTCAACAATGAGATTCTTCAGGTTTTGTTTGTGGACCAGCCTTTTCCCAAGCCCTGGGCTTAGGAAAAAAGGTTTGGAACTAGTCTGCTTTCTTTTTCTTTGTTTTTTGTTTTGTGGTTGATTTTTGAGTCTGCGTGTTTAAGAGGCTGCAGTGATGGTCTCTAAAGGCAGCTAATTTCTTCTAGGCATTAGGTCTATATCTTGTTGTAAAATGTTATTCTGACCATCTGCTGAATGGTTTTCTTCTTATGTTGAGAATATAGTGTTTTGGGTTTTGTCTTTTTTGTTTTTTCTTCTGTTTGTAACTTACTTTCACTGAGGGGGTGGAGGTAATAGCCTTCCTGGCTTCTGACAGTTAAACTAGCTGTCAAAGATAAAAGGTGGCTGGTTTTAGAAGAGGTTAGTACTGAGGGACTGGTGCCTTTTGAGGGAGAGCTGGTGTATAAGCCTGATTTTGGTGCTTTGGGCTGAACGTGGAAGAGTTTACTTGCATTAGGAAGCTAAGGGTTGTAAGCTGTTCATCTGCCTAAACTTGAGTTGCTGTTCTGTTGAAACCAATGATAAAACTTGCCCGTGTTGAAGGGCAACTCTTAAAAAGGCTATTTTTGTAGTTCCTGAGGCTGCTGAAAGAAATGTATTGAGCTTTTTCAGAGAGCCTGATGGCTCCTCTTATGCATCTAGAATGAAAATGGCTTTTGTCATCCTTTTGCAGTTGTATTCTTTGTAGAATAAGGATATGTAATTGCTGATATATAAGATCGGCATAATGGAAAAGTTAACTGTTAGAAATTGAAAGTTTCATACAAAAAAAAAAAAGTAACACCAGTGTGACATGGCAGATGGTTACTGGAGGTCCTGCAAAAAGAAAAGGGATTAATAGTCTCATTTGTAAACAGTCCCATTCGTGCTTTCCCATTAAAAAACAAAAGTCCTGTTTTTCTCATTATTTACATAAGCACAGCAGTTTCTAAAAATGCAATAGGAGAAATTCTTAGTTGTGTTTCTGCAAAATTAAATGTCTTGGTGTATGGAATGTCAAAAGGCAGGGGAGAAGGGAGAGCAAACATCTTTATTGTGCTGCTGTGAACATCTGTAAATACAAATTGTTTTCTAAAGCCTTTTTTTAATCTGGGAGAAATTGTTTATTTTAATTGTACATTCCTATGAGCCGTTTAAATTTTTTATAGATGGGTTTTTCACAGAAGTAACTGTAAAATTGGTATATTTAAGATGAGACCTACCTCTGAGTCATTCTGCATGCTTTTTCCCCACCCGCTATATTTTGTCTTTGTGTGTCGTAGGGAAAATGTTGAAGGTTTTGTATGCAATGTGTTTTAGTTGAGGGGGTGGAAAAGACTGAGATAAGGCAGGGCACACAACCCACTGCTGATTTGCCTGTAATACTGATTTTGCTTCATATTCCTTATGCACCAAGTTATCCCCAATAAGAGTACAGGATGAAACATGGATGTAAAAAATAGGATATGTGAGATGAGATCACTGAGAGCACGGCTCTTCTAAGTTCTGAAGTGTCTCAAACATTTTTTCAGAAATAATGTATTAAATTGTTTGCTTACCTTTTGCGTAGCCAGTGGATCACTTTTCCAGGTTTTTCATTCTTCTGACTTCTTTAAAAATACAGTGCAAGTTATATAACTCCAACCTTGTGCAGGTATTGCTAGCTAAATAAGAGCAGAGGCAAAATAAAAATTGTCTTGTTCTTTGGCCTTTTACATTCCAGTAAAGTGTGAGCTCAGTCTGCTTTTTGACATCAAATCAAGGGGAAGGGTCCTGTAAATGTCTGGGTGCTGAGGGTTTCCCCACTCCTTGCCCTTGTTATTCCTCATTCTTGGGAGTCTCAAAGCAGTTGTCTGACTCACCCTAACTAAAAGACTTTTTAAATACAAGTGAAAATTCTTGCTTCTGTCTCTTGTGTTTCTGAATCATGCAGTGGAAAACTTTTTTAAATTTTATTTATAGGTGTTTCGGTAGCTGTGCTTGTCTAAACGTATCTCGGAACACAGAGACAGAAGATGCCATGCACTTCAAAATGGCTACTGTCTTGGCTGAAATGAGATTTGACCAGTTGTATGTGTGTGTACGTACACACCTTCATTGTGATTGCTGGTGAAGACTCTCTGAAACACCTGTCTTGAAGGTTCTGGGTTGCGAGTGTGTGCCTTGGTAGTAACTACTTGAGAGGTGAAATAAGTTAGCTTGCATCAAGCACTGCACTGCTGCTGCCAAATCTTGCTTAGAACAAAGCTAGTTTGGATAC